AGGAAGTAGAATGGAACTACCCACCTTGCTAATAGCTCCATTCTACTCCTTGAGAGCATTATCCACCCTTAGGCAGTGGTGTAATGTGCTTCCAAAGAAACATCAGGCACAACGCATGGAGCGTTCACTGCAGAAGGGCGGATTGGGTCGAATATCCTCAAAAAGCAAAAAAGATAACTGTGGAAAAAGAAGTTGGTTAGAAGTATTTAAGCTTATCAGAGGCTTTGTGTGATGGTGTGTTTCAAGATTACTAATAGAACCAGAATAGTTGACACTGTGACCTCTCTACAGTGCAGTTTACCTTCCAACGTTTCTAGTCATACGCAATACTTTATGAGACTTAGTTTCGCCCTATGCGTGAACTTACCAAGCAATCAGTTAGCCTTCAAGGAGTAGTTGAACGTCTGGCTACTGCAATTGCATGAACTTTAGGAGTCCATACAAGTGGGGTGGGTTGCCGTTTTCCTCCTGAGGTCAGGCCATCTAGAAAAGGGCACCTCTGATTTGCTCGCAATAAACCTGGGACTAAGCCTAACCCTAACCATAGGCTTAAGCATGAACCAATGTGTAAGCATAAGCCAAAGCTGAGTTGAAGCCTAGCCTAACCTTAAGCTTCAATCATCGTGCAGTTCTGGTGACCTGACCTAGGAGGAGAAGTGAACGTCTCCCAGACAACTGCAGTGGCCAGACATTCAAGTAGTCCTTGCTTTCGCAGCAAATCACCACCTTGAGCGAGTAACCAGCCAGCAATACCCATTAATCGCAAAGCTATTAGTGAAACAAGCCAACTGAAAAAAGGGTAGACGGCACCGCAGGCGAACTCATCCTTGTACGCGCTCTTCCAAGAGGTAGCCATAACTCGATAAACTGCGCCTCATTGGTCGCAGTGAACAGGGTCCACGAAGCCTACTGGATAACTTCCAAAGAAGTGGCTACAAAAGTCACAATGGGGATTTCATATTTCCAGGAGAGAGATTCTCATCCTTAGAACAAAGGTGACCTTTGGAGATTTGGTTTACGGATTATGCAAATACTGACCGTGTGTGGTCGTTCAGGAAGATGGTGTCTGTGGGCTGCTTGACAGCCTTTCTTTTGCGGAATTACTGTGCTCTTCTTTTCGTAGTTGAGAATTTTATTTATTTATTTATTTATTCAACTATTGTCAGCGGTTGAACAAGCGGGAGAGTACAAGTTGGCGGCAGGTTACATGAGAAAGAACAGAACAGTCATAAAATTATAGCACTTGATATATAAATAATTGAACAAATGTTAAATAATTATAAAATGAAACAAATGTAGTGACATAAGGGGGTCAGGTGGGAGGGGGGATGGGTGGGAAGAGGAGACCATGGCTCGCTAAGAGAAGGAAGGGCAGTGCCCGGCCAAACACTGCAAGCTCCCAGGCGGCTTGGGGCCCCGGATACCAGCTTAGTAGGTCCGCCAACCCCTCTAAGGAACCAAGGCCACCTTATGCTGTATGGGGTGGACAGAGGTAATTACAGAATAGGAAGGAGGAAATTCACATGAAAAATGAGGGCATATAAAATAGAGAATGCATAAAAGTTAAGAAAAAAATTAACTACACAAGGATAAAGTTACAAAAGAGTTATGAGTCGTTGTATGAGTTGAGATACAATAAATTGACTAAATCCACTATAATTCGATAACATAAAATGGTACAGAATGTAACAGGAACTGAGCCTCTGGAGGGAAGAAGCCAGGGCTCAAGGAGAGGGATGGAAGAAAGAGAAGAGGCGCATAGAGTCAAAAGAGGGGGAGATCGACATAGAGGCGTGCTGAAATAATAAGTATTAGTATTCCGCTTTTATCAGTTCATAATGCCTCGCTGAAAGGTGAAGTCGTTGACACTCATAATAGTAGTAGAGATAGAATCTAATTGAGTAGGTTTTCCTAGAGTAGATATAGCGAAATTTATTTCACACATGGACAAACCTATGGGAATAAGCCTCGCTCAAATCTAGGAGACAATCGCCTGCATGTTTGATGAATGAAATGGATTAGATCTCACTCTCCAAATACACCGAAAGACATGCTCGTAAGCCTTCAGTACGAAAACAAGAAAAATTTAACTCACAATTTTAGGTACTCCCAAGCCGTCATCTTTTCTCAGCGATGTGTGGACCTTCATGCACATGGTAGTTGTGCTCGTTCTAGTGATGGGCATTTTGTATGGATTGTATAAAATAACTGACAAATATATCGACGACAGTTTCATCATGGCAAGACCACGTAAACGATTCTACTAACAGGTAAAAATTTTTGTCTAAACTCGATGAAAAGCTTAGTTCTGTGTCTGCTTGTACGATTTCTCTACAATGAAATGCGATTAGTTATGTCTCTCTACTTAGTCCCGACTACCTCTGTTCGAACATCCGCTAATTAGGCTTTCTAGAAGTAATCGTCGTTTCTTGTCTTTCGCCAGAAATCTATGGTTAATGCAAATAAGTCCCAGCAGGGTGGGAGTGGTCGAAACGGTGCCAGTCGCTCAGCGATTCCTCACTTTCGGGGTTCAGCCCCTATGCGAACGTAAGAAGCACGACTGTGATGAAAACAAACCTTGTAACGCTAGGCAAGGAGCTGAGAGTGAGCGTGCGTTCAGAATCGGCCGAGGGAATCCGCCACGCCTACACCTGCTGGGACTGTTTGCTGTTAACACATTGCGTACCACGTGCGCCACCATGTGGCGCACGATTTGGAGCGGAAGATCATAGTCCTGTCTGATTTATTTGGCATTTTTCAATGCTCCTTAAGTGCTTGCACTCATTTTCAGAACCAGGAAAGCATAAGTATCATCACTGATAAAATTGTTGATAGATTAATGATGATTTTTTTAAAAACATGAAAAATGTATGGAGATGCTCGTATAAGGGGCGGTCCGCAATGTGTTAAGGCAAACCCTGGCGCGGCAGTTGAAGGAACCATGTCGTGAGTGAACGTGTGGGTGCAGTCACTCCAGCTCTACCGCATAAAATATACGATAAGGGTGCTAATGCAACCATCGAGCCTTACTACAACCCTCCCCACCCACTACGACTGATGTAGAGATCAGCGTGATGTCTCGTACGACGTGCTCTCTCGCGTGTTTTGTGTTCTTTGGTCGCTGGTTTCTGCGTCGTACCACATCCGACTTTACTGGAAGTTAACGTCTTCAATTACCTAATTTACTTTGTAATTCACGCTTCTTCTTCTAGACGTCAAACACCTCCTTACAATTCCAGTTTCCTCAATATGGTTCGATTTCCTCACTTATGTTTGTCTCATCGTCAGTCCTATCCTAGTGATGTGCCTTCAAGAGCTGACAACTGAAATGGTTCGTCTGGGATAGAGGCGAAACGAACCATCTATCTTGTCACATATTACCTTTAACTACATCTATCGTTTTCTCCTTTCATTAGCATATTCGATGATTTTTCTTGCTTTCTTTTCCTCTTTCAGTTCAGTCCGCAGTACAGTCATCACTAGGAAGCGCTCTTGTACACAACTTTGCGCCCTAAGCTTGCTATAGCATTGTCCCGTCAAACCAAGACCAAAAATTTCTTTACAGCCGAGGGCTTGACAGTGGTTAAGAGCGAGTGAAACTAAGTTTGAAATGCATGACTAGTATTTCATCATCATCTACCAAAAAGTTTTTTCCGGAGCACTTTGATTAATCCCGTGGGCCGATTAGGTATAAATTCGACCTAATTCATAACGAGAATAAAAATAAAACACGCGACCAACAGAGCAGAAGGAAGGTTACGCATGGTATTGGGTTGACCCATAATTTCTGGCCGATTTTGGTTCAAATTCAATTTTCTTCATGTCAAATTAGCTTCATGATGAAATAAGTTAATATGTTGAAGAACACATCAGGACCTTCAGCCAGGATGATTCAGAAGCTCAAAGTGCGCAAAGGGATAATTAAGTAGGAATCAAAATAGATCAACAACCAAACCCAACGATTTTGCCTTGCGACAATTTTAAGAAGAACCTTGCAAGGAGCGCGGTAGGCAAGATCAGCGCTACGTTTGCCCCAGTCTTTGCTACTGATCGGGCACTGAGCTATTGGCTCAATAGCATCGGCAAAGGCGATAGGAGCTGCAAAGTTCGACCTCATCATGGACCTCCAGTCACTTTCGATGAGGACCCTTGCGCTACGAATAGGAAGTGCATCCGGACGCTATTAGCAGGAAACTGTAGCAAACATCTGGGCGCAGCCTACGCTCCATGAGTCGACACCTGAATGGAATGGACTGTAGCAGAATGAAGCCTCGATGGAAACAGCATGCATGGACTGACCATGACCGAGAAGCACGCCTGACCATCTGCAGAAGTTTCATTCTGCGACCGTATAGACAAGACATTCCCTAGTTGGTCACCAGTGCAGATGAGTCATGAGTCCCCTACGATAACAACACGCGGCTCGCCCGGTGGCTACCTCGCAGCCTGGACGCAGCACATCAACCAAAACCCGAGCTGTTTCATCAGAGGGTGTGACCCCCGTTTTGTTGGATTCGCTGGGTATCCCGTTTTGAGAACCATTTCACTTTATGCAGACAAGCATTGCGAAGGTAACCATGGAATAGCTTCCAAAGTTGGCCGCAGCAGTGCGGGAGAACGGTTGGAAAGTCTCAAAATCTCCTTTATCCGGAGGACCGCCCGAAATCACATTGCAAAGATAACTCGCCACGTTTCGAAGGAAACTGGCTGTATAGCCCTTACGTTGCTCCATCGTACTATCACCTCCTCAGCCCCTGAAGCAGCAGCTAGGAGAGGAAAAAGTCAGTAAATACAACCACCCCAAAAACGACCTCTTCGAGCTTTTCATCTCACAGCTTCTCTCGTTCTGGGAGAATGCATCCATTGGTTC